TCCTCTTGGACATGCTGCCACTGTTAAGTGTCGTCATGTAGACAACTCACAGTGACTTTCAACAATCCATTGTATAGGTGATCATCTCTGGTTTTCCAAGGAAACCTAAACCTGTAGGCGGCGGGGCACACGTCCCACCCACGGGTGGTGGGGTGCGCACCCTATTTTCTGTGCGGGTGGCCGGCAGGCACGCACCACCCCCTAGCGCGGGCAGCTGGTGGGCGCTCACCATCTCCCGTGCATCATCTCCCACATGGGTGGCTGGCAGGCACATGTCATCTTGTGCACAGGCAGCCGGTGGGCACCATCCCCCAGCATGGGCGGCCAGTGGGAGCCCGTCATCTTGCGCTCAGGCAACCGGCGGGCCCGAGTCATCTCGTGTGCAGGGAGCTGGTGGGGGTGGGTGCGCGCCATCCCCCAGCGCGGGTGGCCGGTGGGTGCATGTCATCTCCCGTGTGTCATCTTCTACGCGGGTGGCCGGCACGCACGTGTCATCTCGTGCGCGGGCAGCTGGTGGGGTGTGGGTGGCCAGCAGGCGCGTGTCATCTCTCACGCGGGCGATCGGCGGGCCCGTGTCATCTTGTGCACAGGCAGCCTGCAGTTGTGCACCATCTCCCAGCGCAGGCAGCCAGCAGGCGCACACCATCTCCCGTATGTGCGACTGGCAGGCATGCACCATTCTTCAGCAAGGGCGGCCGGCAGGTGCGCCATCTTCCCACGCAGGTGGCTGCCGGGTGTGTGCCATCTTCTACATGGGTGGCTGGCAGGCGCGAGCCATCTCCTGAGTGTCATCTCCCACATGGGTGGCTGGCAGGCGCACACCATCTCACGAGCGGGCAGCTGGCGGATGCACACCATCCCCCCAACTGGGCGGCTGCCGGGCGAGTGCCATCTTCCACGTGGGTGGTCGGCAGGTGCAAGCCATCTCCCTCGCGTCATCTCCCACATGAGAGGCTGGCGGTCGCACTTCATTTCGCACACGGGAGGCTAGTGGCCGCCCGCTTCCCCTGTCACCACCATCTTGGCTCCAAGAATTCTCCCCAGAACCAGTCCACTTTGCTGCAGTGTGGCGGCTCCACTGCACCAGTCCTGGGGAGGGCTGGTGCCCACTCTCCATCCTGGGCGAGGGATTCCATACGTTCCAGCTGTGGGAGCTTCATAGAGCTGCGGCTGCGGTGAGGCACAGTGCGGGCTCTGCAGAAGGGGGTTGGGAGCTGCGGCACTCACCCATTCTTCCTTGGGAATCTTTGAATTCCTGTTGTTGAGCCTCAATCCTCACTGAAGACCAGTCGTCAACTGTTTAACTGTTCAATTATCAATAAACAGAAGTCTGTAGAAGGCTATAGTGGCCCTGTTCCAAGTGGTCCGCTGCTCCCGCAGCTCACCACATTGTCTCTGCCTCTGCTGCCATCTTGGATCCCCCAAAAGAATCTAATTTTAATATGCATTATTAAGCATATTATAAAGTTATAGAGCATTGGTGTTGCTATTTTGTGCTGTCGAATGAACTACAACTCATAGTGACCCTGTGCACAATAGCTCTAAAGCACTGCCCTACTTGGAGCAAATCTCATTGTCTCTGACACACCTACCCTTACTACCTCGGTTATACTGTCAATCCTTCTCATCTGGGATCTTTCTCTTCAAAGCATGATCCATCTTCTCCAAAGACTGATCCCTCTTGGCTACATCCAAAAAGTATGTGAGATGGAGCATCAAAATTCTTGCCTACAAGGAGCTGCTTGGTTTCACCCTCTCCATAACAGACCGGTTTGTCCTTTTGGCAGTCCATGATACAGTCAATACTCTTCTCCAGCACCACAACTCAAAGGCATCAATTCTGTCATCCTTGGTCATTGTCCAGCTTTTTAATGAATAGCAAGTAATGGTGAAGACCATCTCCTGAATCAGGTGTCTTTAACTGACATCTTTGCTCTGTAGCAGATTTTCCTATGCAATTCATCTTTTGATTTCCTGACTGCTGGTGCCAAGAGTGTTGACTGTAGGACCAAGCAAGCTGCAATTGTTAACAATCTTAATCTCTTCTCCATCTATTATGATGCTTTCAGTTGGCCCAATGATGAGAATCTTCATTTTCTTAATGTTGAGCTTCTGTCTATATTGCACCCTACAGTCCTTGACCCTTTCAGCAAATGCTTTAGGCTCTTCTCAGTTTCAGGAAGCAAGGTTGTATCATCTGTATAATGCAGGTTGTTGGTGAGTCTTCCTCCAGTCTTGATGCCACATTCCTCCTCATAAAGTCCAGCCTCTTGAATGATCTGTTCTGCATTCAAATTGAAAAAGACAAGACATATGATATACTCCGTTTCTGATTTTGAACGATGTAGTGTTTCCTTGCTCTGGTCTGACAGCTGTCTCCTGGTTCAAGTATAAGTTTCATATGAGAACAGTCAGGTTCTGGGAGTCCCATTCTTCTCAGGGTTAGCCACAATTTGTGTTCTACACAGTGAAATATCTTTCTATAGTCAGTGAAACACAGACATTCCTTTGGTACTTTCTGCTTTCAGCCAGCATCCACCTGACATTGGCAGTGATATCCTAGTGTCATGGCCTCTTCTAAATTTAACCTGTATTTCTGGTAGTTCTCTGTCAATGTGCTGTTCAAGTCACTTTATGCTAATCTTGAGCAAGATTTTGCTTGTGTGTGATATTGTTTGATAATTTCCACACTCTGTTGGATCACTTTTTGGGGTGGTAGGAATAAATATGGATCTCTTCCAGTCAGTTGGCCAGGTGGTTGTCCTACAGATTTCTCAGCACAACCTGGTGAGCACGTCCAAGGCATCTGTTTGTTGAAATAAGGCAATAACATTCCATCAGTTCCTGGAGCCTTTTTTTTTTTTTTTTTTTTGCTTCAGAGTAGCTTGAACTTCCTCTTTCATCACCATTGCCTCTTGAACATAAGTTGTTTCATTAAATTCTTGTCATCCAGTTCTTTTTGGTGCAGTGACTCTGTGTACTTTTCCCATCTTCTTTTGATGCTTCTTGGATCATTTCGTTTTTTACCCATAGAATCCTTACATATTGGAACTTGAAACTTTTTTTTCTTCTTTCAGTTTATGAGCAATTTCAACCCTTTTGCTTTTCCAACTCTACACATTTCATTATAATATTATTATTATTTGGGGGAAACACCTTCTTCAGATTTGACAGGTACAGATAACCAGTTATTATTGACTAGATGCTGTGTTAAAAACCACTTGTTGTGTATTGCAAATTGTCTGCACTCTAGAATATAAACCCTTCAGGTAGACATTGTTCAGCTTTGCTGCTATTGTTGACTATACATAACAGGCAGTAAATAACTTAGGAACAAACCTAGACAGTTTATTAAAACCCTGTGTGATTTTTACCTCATTTGGTTTGATTTTCTTACTAAATAAAGCCAGGTTAGTATTAGTGTATTAAGTTGGCTTCATTTGGGGTTCTGTTAATAGCTGTTTGTATTTTCAGTGGCTTTGAATTTAACATTGTTAAACGATTGGAATAAAATACTACCATTGTAAAAATATCTTCTTTGACTGAAAATCAAAAGAACCAAAACCCACAAACTGGGCACAGAAAACCAAACTTACTGCTTATCCAATCAATTCAGACTTCTAATAACCCTGTTAGGAGGGTTTGCCCATTGAGTTTATAAAGCTAGAAATGTCCTTGGAAGCAGAATGCCCCCTCTCTTCTCAGGAGTGGCTGGGAAATTAGATTCCAGTCTTTTAGTCAGCAGCCAATGCTTAACCACTGCGTCAGGACCACTGAGTAAAGAAAAGCCAGGCAAGAACAACACACATGATGTTATCTGGGGATAGTCAGAGTTCTATTTATTCTCCTCCAATGTGAGTGCCTTTTATTTCTTTTTCCTGCTTCAGTCCAATGTTAAAATGACAATATGTTTCCTTGGTTTCTTCCAGACTTTAGAGGGAAACTGTTCTTTGTGTATCAAATATGATTTTACTGTGATTTTTTTGTATAGATATTCTTTATCTGGTTGAGGAAGTTCCCTTCTATTCCTAGTTTGTTGAGTATTTTTACTCATGAAATAGTGTTGGATTTTGACAAATGTCTTTTGTGTATCTACTATGATGACTGTAGTTTTTGTCTGTTATTCTCCTACTGTGGTGTATTACATTGGGTTTTGTGTGTTAAGCTAGCCTTGAATTTGTGAGATAAATTCCACCTGGTTATGATATACAGTACATCTTATATGCTAATGACTTCTGCTTGCTAGTGTTTTGTTGAGTATTCTATGTGACGTTTTTATGCATTATTGTTCTTGGTGTAACAATGCCTTCTAAACAAAGTAATGATTAATTATCATCTCCAAAACTCCAATGGTTTAAGTTTAGATTTGTTTATTATAAACTGTGTGGGATTGTTGTTGTTATGGTGCCATCAAGCCAGAACTGACTAAAAACTAGTGGGTTTTTAGAGTCTGTAAATCACACTGGAAGAGGTTGCCCTCTTCTTCCTTCAGAGCAGCTGGTGGATTTGAACTTTCTATCTTTGGATTAGCAGTGCAACTCCTTACCACAGAGCTCTTAATGGACAGAAGTTTGATTTAGTTTTTTAATCTAGTGGAAGAGCCTTTAACTTGAGAGTATAAACTATACATTTATAATCATAGTTGATATTTTGTACTATTACTGCTTTAGCTTGACATTTGCTTCAGATACCAAGTAATACCATTTTGGTTAAATACAGGCTAATAGGTAGCCAGTTTGTCCTGCTGATTAAGTCTATGTGACTTCACACAGCCAAGACTTTAAGACTTCTACTTGAAAAAGGAACTCTGCTGGTATAGTGTGTTACATACTGACTGAAAGGTCAGTGGTTCAAATCCACCAGCTGATCTGTGGGAGAAAGATAGAGAGTGGCCTAACATGAAGATTTATAGCCTCAGAAACCCAGTGGGGGCGGAGGAAGTTCCGTTTGATTGGAAATTGACCCGGCTGGCATTGGATGATATCAGTAATATTTCACAGGTGATACTGCAGCAGTCAAAGACGGGAAGCAGGAGCGACAACCACAGCCACGTTCTGGACCTGTGGAAGAAACATTTCGCATTGTCAAGAACTCTCTCAATGATGACCTTGTTAAAGCCACTCAAGCCGTCTATCAGTTCGAACTCTCAGGTAAGGACTGTATCTGGAAAGAAAATAGGAATTACCTTTGAAGAAAATCAGGCTCCAGTAGTAATTACCTAAGAGTTGGTTGTAATCCAAGAAACTTACTCTAGAAGGTAGACATTCAAAAATTGGAAAGAACTCTTTGTTTGTATTTTTAAATTAAGAAGAGTGCTAAGTTAAGATATGAACGTACATAAAATGAATTTCCTTCCAAGTCTTTTATCCTTCCACATCTATGGTTTGTCCTAATCCATTAGTGCTTCCTGGTTTTGATTCTTTTCTGTGCTGTTTAGAGTCCAAGGTACATTGCTTTAATCATTCTCTTGCTTGTCTCCTAAACTCCCTGAATCCTTTGTGCTTATACCAAGCACCTGTCACAACCCTAGTTCCAGTGAAATAAAAGTATCTGGCTGCCCCTTGTTGCATCCAGGCTGCTTGAGGGAAAGAAAGGGGGGGAAAATTAAAATCAAAGCATCACCTAATACATCTAACAACTAAATTTCACCATTGCTCCTCTTCAGTGAGGCTCTAAACAACACATCAGAATTCTGATGGTTTTCTTTTGGTTTGGATCTCCTTACCGCCTCATTTCCCACAATGACAATTTTAAACCTTCTCAGTCTTCCTCAAATCCCTCCCTTCACCATTTCTCTGCCTGTGTCAGCAGATAATTCCACTTCCCCTTCGACAGAGATAATAGAAGTCTTCAGACAGAATTACTTTAGCTTCCTGCCACGAAATACCAAATCAGCTTTTATAGTGTTCCAGGGGAAATGAAGACACCCCTAATTTAAACATATTCTGTGGAGACTCTTTCATTTAAGACATAAACAGGACAAAGACAGACAAGGAAATTGTTTCAGAAATGGGAATGTTTGAGCAGGCAAAAGACCATGATTGGGATACACACGCAATTTCAAAGTAAAACCTTACAGTATTGGTTCTGGGTCTTTGGTTGCTGCTGCCGAGCTCCACAGAGCTCTGAGTTACAGGACACACGCCTGCAAGGAGGGAAGATATGACCAAGAACCAGCTGTACTAGAAGAAGTAGTCCGAGCTGTCCTGATGGAATTGGCAAAAAATAACGCTCTAAGACTTAATACCTTAATTGAGGTGTTTGAGAATGCAGATGCAGTCCTCAACATGCTCATTTATCTATGCCAAGAAACTTGGAAGGCACTTACCTGACCGACTAACTGGAAGAGATCCATATTTTACCCCCCCATTCCAATAAAAGGTGATCCAACAGGATGCACACATTATCAAAACAAGCCTAGTGTACAGCCTGGCATATCATTAATATGGCATGCAAGTAAAATCTTGCTGAAGGTTATTCAGAGATGGTTGGAACACTCTTTAGATAGAGAACTGCCAGAGGCTGTGAAACAAGGAATAGATATTGCTGCTGTCAGATGGACTTGGCTGAAAGAAAATACCAGAAAGATTGTTACTTGTGTCTTATTCATTATACAAAGGCATTTAACTATGTAACTCATAATAAATTATGGGTAGCACTGAGGAGAGAGGGAAGTCGAGAACACTTCGTTGTACTAATGAAAAGCCTATACATAGACCAACAAGCAGTTCAATAGAAAAGGGGGACACTGCATACTTGAAAATCAGGAAATGTGTGCATTAGGGTTGTATCTTTTTGCATACCTATTCATTCTGCATGCTAAACTTTTGAATTACTTCCTCTGTTTATGAAAGTTGGACACTGAATAGGGATGACAGAAGAACTGATGCTTTTGAGTTGTGCTAGAGGAAAGTTCTGATTGTCCCATAGACTGCCAAAGGAACAACACGTCTGTCTTGGAGGAAGTGCAAGCTTATAGCCAGGATTCTGAAACCTGGTCTCACCACATTAGCCAAATGATCAAGAGAGGCCAGTCCTTTAAAAAATCTATCATCCTGGAGGGTCAGAGAAAGACCCCTAAGAGCAGTGATTATAACGAATGGACTTGAGCATATTAGAGGTCAAAGGGGTGGCACAGAATAGGCAAAAGGTTCAGATCTGTTCATCTGGTTGCTATGAATTGGAGTCAGCTTACTGGTACCTACAAATCACCAAAAACCTCTGAATCAGAATCTATAATTATAAGGATCTCTTGGAGATCTTTTTAAAAATTCAGATTCTTGACTATCACACTAGTTCACTGGATGGCACTATTTAACCACATATTTTTTTCACATACCAGTCTTCTGTACTGTCAGCAGGGCCTCAAACGTACTGCTCACTTGAGTCTTGTTTTTTGCATATCTTGTTCCCTTTGTCTGACATATTTTCCCACTTCCTTGTTCATTTAATGAATTCTTCCTTTTCTTTTAAGTCCCTCCTTCAACTGAGTTTTCGTGACCCTTTATTAATATGCTCTCACATCTCCCTCCTTGTCTGTGTAATCAGAACCATGTTTGTTTGGTTTTTTTGTTGTTGTAGTTGTTGATTGCACTTGTCACAGCCTAGTGTACAGCCTGTCATAGAATACAAACCTGAGGATTTTAACTTATAAAACAGCATTTCTATAAGCTCATTCTAATTGTAACAATCACTAAATTTAAGAACAGGACTTCTTTTACATTAACTTCTGTATTTTTCTCTTCTGTGTAGGTGAAGATGGTGGAACATGGTTTCTTGATCTGAAAAGCAAAGGTGGAGTTGTGGGCTTTGGAGACCCTCCTAATCAGGCAGATGTGGTGATGAGTATGTCCACTGAAGATTTTGTAAAAATGTTTTCTGGTGAGTTTTAAATTGCATTGTTGTTGTTAGGTGTTGTGGGGCCAGAACCATTGAGTTAACGCTTCAGTGAGTTAACGCTTCAGTGCGTTTCCATAGACTTAAAAATCACATGGGAAGAGATTCCCCATATTCTCCCATGGATCAGCTGGTGGATTCAAAACACCTTTTTTGGGGGATTGGCAGCACAGCCCCTTAAACTAGCTCCTGTTTCAATTACATTGATTCACTATTTAAGGACAGTTTCATTCTATCCTTTTGCTTTATCCTTTTCCAAATAATCAAGGCCCATAAATGTGTGTAAGAGTGGAATCTTTACAGCAAATTGGTGGCACAGAGTACACAGTCCTGGGAAAACGGTTCTTAGTGTTATCTGTACTTTTAACTTCATTCATTCTACAAATAGGCAATAGAAGTCAGATTTCCCATTTTGCATTACTGGAAAACCAATCTGCTATGTAAGCTTTCACTCATATCATAATTAAGAGACAAAATTTATAGGGGGGGGCGGGAATAAGACAAGGCTTACAATAAAAGGCCTAAAATGCTTTGTCCATTTAGTGGAAAGACAGTATTCTATAAAAGACATAAGTAGCAGTAGATTGCTTCCTTCAGTCTAAATCATGGCTATAAAATATATCTCACAAAAATATTTATGCTTTAAAAAAGTTACAGTAAATTCTCAGATTGCCTCTGACTTACTTGGGTTTTAGTGTATTTAAGTTCCATGTAAGTTAGACTTACTCTGCATTATTTTTAAGTGTTTTAACATCCTTTTTTTTTTTTGCAGTAGTGTGGAATTCAATTTATTCAATTACAGTTAGACTTGATCTTTTCATTGTTGTTATGTACTCTTGAGTCAGAACCAACCCATAACTGACCCTCCAGCAGGTTTTCAGAGACAGTAAGTCACTGGTCCATCTTTCTTTTGTGGAGCAGCTGGTGGATTTGAACTGCATGCCTTTGGGATTGCAGTGCAATTTCTTACCATTAGGCCACCAGAGCACCCTACAAGCTCCCTATAGTATTACAGAAACAATAAAGATTTGCTACAACTCCTGCTTTGAATAAATTATTGTTGTTGTTGTTAAGTGCCGTCGAGTTGCAGGCGACTCATAGTGACCCTATGGAGGAAAGTTCTCAACGCTTGGGTGTCTTTCATCCTCTCTCCAGGTTCATGGGATTTCCAGAGGCAAGCTATTACAGAAGTCTTGAATAAATTAGAGGTGATTTATATTTGCACAAGTAGTAGTGGCTTAGTCCATATAGAGTTGTGCTGCTCACCCAAAGGCCAGGCTTCTCTGCTTTGAATCTACCAGCCACTCCACGGGAGAAAGATAGGCTTCCCAAGCAGTTTACAGCCCTGGAAATCCAATGCACATCAGCTTTTAGAGAAAACATTTGAATATATATGAATATTTATACAAAAGTGAATGGCACTGCCTAGTTTTTTCTATCACTTGTTTGGAAAATATTTGACTTTCCCTTCTCTGTCAAGTTTCCCCCTTCCCTGGATGGCTTAGGCAGTGTCTGCTTTTACTATATAATACATAAAAGAAATAAGCCCGCATGTTATTTCTGTAAAGAGCATTGTGGAGATTTTCTAGTCCATCAGCATGTAGTCTGCCTTCTAATTAAGGGATATGACCTGTAAATACACTGTCATAATAGAAGACTGCTACTGCTGCTGCTGCTGTTGTTATGTACTACTGAATTGTTATCAACTTATAACTGACACTCTCGCAAGTTTTAAGACGCTCTAAATTACACAGGAGGAGACTGCCCATCTTTTCTGATAAGCTTGTGAATTCGAACCACCTGCCATTTGCATGGCAGCATAACTCTTTTCCCACTAGGGCACCAGAGCTCCTGTAATTTAAGGCAGAAACCATACATGGGAGTCAGGCAAGCCTGGCTTGAACTGCAGGTCTGCCATCAACTTGAGTGAACATGGACTAGTTCCAAATTCTCTGAGCTTCAAATTTCTCATCCATTTATTCCATTGAGTAATCATAGTGTGCTGTAAATGAGAGTTGTTGTTGTTGTTGTTATGTGCCATTGAGTCACATGTGACTTATAGTGACCCTATATACAACAGCCCTAAACCCCTGCCAGTCTGACTCTCTGAAACACCTATCCCCATTTCCCCAGTGATGGAATCAATCCATCTCATCAAGGGTCTTCCTCTCCTGTGTAAATGAGAGTAGCAAATAAAAATTAAGTTATTTTCCTCCATGGAGCTAATGTTGATTACATAGAATTAAGAGCTACAGATCTATTTTAGTGCATGTTGTTGTTGTTGTTGTTGTTATGTGCCATCAAATCTTTTGCAACTCATTATCAACCCCATGTACAACAGCCCTTAACCCTGCTCTATTCTGAGCCAACCTTATTGTCTCTGACACAACTACGCCCGTTAACCTAGTAGTCAATGAATCAATCCATCTCATCAAGTTCCTCCACTCTCCCATGCATGATACCCTTCTTCAGGGACTGGTTCCTCTTTGTAATATGCCCAAAGTATGTCAGACGAAGCTTCAGAATCCTTGCCTCCAAGGAGCAACCTGGTTTCACCCTCTCCTGGACAAGCCTATTTGTTCTCCTAGCAGTCCATGATATGTTCAATACTCTTCTCCAGCCCTATAGCTCAAAGGCATCAATTCCCCTTCTATCATCCCTAGTCATTGTCCAGCTTTCTGATGCATAGCATATAACTGTGAAGATCATGGCCTGGATCAGGCACACCTTAGTCTCCAGACTGATGTCATTGCTCTTCAGTACTCTGGAGAGGTCTCTGACAGCAGACTTTCCCAATGCAATTCGTCTTTTTTCTTTTTTTTTAATTTTTTTTATTATTTTGTGTGCGTATACCGTCAAATCAGATCTGACTGGTACAGGAAGATATTGCGCCTCCTTCTCCGGTAGAGCGTCTGGTGGATTCGAACCGTGTTCCTCTGGGATTGCAGTGCGATTTCTTGCCACTAGGCCACCAGAGCTCCCCGCAATTCGTCTTTTGATTTCCTGACTGCTAGTACCAAAGAATGCTGATGGTGGAGCCAAGCAAACTAAAGCTCTTAACAATCTCAGTCTCTTCACCATCTATCATGATGCTGCCAATCAGCCCAATGGTGAGAATCTTTGTTTTCTTGATGTTCAGATTCAATCCATATTGAAGGCTGCAGTTCTTGACCTTCCACAAGTGCTTCAGATCCTCGTCTGTTTCATCAAACAGGGTTGTATCATCTGCATAATGCACATTGTTGATTAGTCTTCCTCAAATCCTAATGCTACATTCCTCCTGATAGAGTCCAGCCTCCCGGATGATCTGCTCCTTATATAGATTGAAAAGGTATAGAAACAGGACACATCCCTGGCATACAACCTTCCTGTTTTTTGAACTATGCAGCATTTCCTTGCTCTGTTCATATGACTGCCTCCTGGTCCAAGTATAGGTTTTGCATAAGCACAATCAAGTGTTCTAGGATTCTCATTATTTTCAAAGTTAGCTAATGTTTGTGATTCACATAGTCAAATGCCTTTGCATAGTCAATGAAATACAGATAGACATTCCTCTGGTACTCTGTGCTTTCAGCCAAGATCTATCCCTTGTTAGCTATAATATTCCTAGTACCATGGCCTCTTCTGAGCCCAGACTGCACATGTGGCAATTCTCTGTTGATGTGCTGTTCCAGGCGTTTTTGGATAATTCTCAGTAGAATCTTGCTTGCATGTGATATTACTGATAATGTTCAATAATTTCTGCACTCTGTTGGGTCACCTTTCTTTAGAATGGGAACAAAATGGATCTCTTCCAGTCAGTTGACCAGGTAGGTGGTTGTCCTCCAGATTTCTTGGCACAACTTGGTGAACGCATCCACAGCAGCTTCTGTTTGTTGAAATATGTCAGTTGGTATATCGTCAATTCCTGGGGCCTTGTTTTTTGCAGGTTCCGTCAGAGCAGCTTGAACTTCTTCCTTCATCACCATAGGCTCTTGCTCATACTTTTTTCCCCATGAAATTCTTCTGTTTTCAGCCAATTCTTTTTGGTACAGTGATTCTGTATACTCCTTCCATCTTCTTTTAATGGTTCCTAGATTTTAGTGCATATGTTCTTGTTATTATTGCTCTTAGGTGCTGCTGAGTTGAGTACAACTCAGAGCGACCCTATGAACAACTGATCTGAGCCCCACCCTAATCTGTGCCATCCTCACAATCTCTGACGCACTCTAGCCCATTGCTGCAGTCACTGTGTCAATCCCTCCTGTTTAGAGTCTTCCTCTCCTTCACTGACTCTCCACCTTTCCAAGGAATAAACTCTCCTAGCAACATGCCCAGAATATATGAGACAAGGTCTCTCTATCTTTGCCTCTAAGGTGCTCTGCCTGTACTTTTTATAAAATCTGTACATCTGGGCATTTCTGTGTACTTTTTGTGTCCATATACTATGCTGAGAACATAATTTTTTAAATATAATGTGTGGATTTTCTTGGTCAGTTTAAACTTGAAGTAATAAAAGTTTAATGAACTGTAATAAAAACCCAAATCCACTGACTTTGAGTTAGTTCTGTCTCAGAGCAATCCTGTAGGACAGAGTAGAACTTCCCTAAAAGTTTGGGTTAGCAGCCAAGCTCTGATGGCCTTGCAGCAGGAAGCTGCCTGCAAACCCAAAAGCAGGCAGTTCAAATCCACCAGATGCTCCATGGGAGAAAGGATGGGCAGTCTCCTCCTGTGTGATTAACTGCTTCTGAAAACCCACTGGAGGGTCAGGTAGGTCGGTTCTGACTCTATGGCACACACCACCACCATTAAAGGCATCTGTGAATAACAGACAGGAAGCTAACTAAAGTATATAGTATTTATTCACAGCAATTCATTTGAGAACTGTGTGTATTTTGTTGTTGTTGTTATGTGCCGTTGAGTCAGAACTGACCCATAGCTGACCCTCTGGCCAGTTTTCAGAGGTAGGTAATCACTCAGGAGGATGGCTCATCTTTCTCCTGCAGAGCAGCTGGTGGATTTTAACTGTGTGCCTCCTGGATTGCAGTGCAGCTCCTTACCACTGGGCCACCAGAGCTCCCTGTGTGTATGTTTGTTTGTGTGTGTATGTATCTTTTAGCATATTGTAATTAAGTATATAAAGGTTGCATCTTCAGCTTTTTGCTATAATTATTTGTTGCTTTTACATTATCTCTCCTACCATATTGTTAACACCTAAATCTAGGAATTGAGATTCTCAAAATACTGATATAAAATGCTGTAACAGAAATTTCTTTGCTTCTGAGATTTCATAATGCATGATCTTGAAGCAGTACACACACCCCCAACACTGGCACTAATGGATACCTTTACCCCCTCTCATTTTCTCATTGTAGGGAAGCTAAAGCCAACATTGGCATTCATGTCAGGAAAGTTGAAGATTAAAGGTAACATGGCCCTAGCAATCAAATTGGAGAAACTAATGAACCAGATGAATGCTAAACTGTGAAGAAAAGAAGAGAAAGGGGGGAAAATGCTGACCACTAAGCTCAACAAGTAAAAAGTGCAACTGTTCTAAATCTAAAGTTTGTTTTCTTCCCTGTTGAATTGTAAGGATACCTACATATATGCTTTGGGGAAAAAAATGAAATTTCTATATATGTAAGACTTGAAACTGTAATTAAAACAGTTAGCTAATCAAACAGAAGCTTCACTAAGTGGACTTCTAAGACATTTTGATTTTTGTATGTTCTGAGTTTTGTCCTCAGAGTCTTGTATCTCACTGACCGTTTTCTTCTAGGAAAACTATAATGAGCAAATTAGTCAGGGTCGAGCAGTAGGCCACCTCACTGCTTCTTCCCAGGTAACATGAGGCTAGTCTGTTTAAAGGATTTTGTTTCGGATTATGCACTAATGAGAATCTTAATGATATTATGGACTTTATATGCCTATTTTAAAGAAAATCGACAGTGTATTTTCACAAAAATCATATCATAAAGTACTAATAAATACTATTTGTTAAAATGAAACAAAATACTGGGTTTTTATTTCATGTATCTGATACCTTTAAGAAAATACTAATAGAACTCAATTAAATATGTTGCTGTTGCTGTTGTTAGATGTCACCAAGTACAACTCATATTGACCCTATCAACAGCAGATCTGAACCCCAACAGACCCTGTGCCATCCTCACAATCTCTGACATACTTGAGCCCATTCCTGCACTCTCTCTGTCAATCCATCTGGTTGAGGCTCCTCCTCTTTTGCTGTCCCTCTACCTTTCCAAGCATGACATACCTCTCCAAGAAATAGCAACATGTCCAAAGCATGCTAGATGGTGCATTTTCACCCTTCCCTCCAAAGAGCAACCTGACTGCACCTTTTCAGGACATACCTCTTTGAACTTTTGGCAGTTCATGGGTTAGTCAGTACTCTTCTCCAACACTATAGCTCAAAGGCATAAGTTTTTCTTTTGTCATGCTTATTTATTGTCCAGATCTCAGATGGATAGCAAGTAATTAAAAAGACCTTGTCCTGAATCAGGCACACCTTGATTTTCAAACTGGCATCATTGCTCCTCA